GTCCTTCAATTCTGTCATGGCTCTAAACTTTTCTGTCATCCAGGTATTACCAAGACTCTGGCTGTGGTTCAGTCAGGATTCTGGTGGCCCACTCTGAGAAAAGACACCCGAGAGTTTGTTTCAGCATGTGTCACCTGTTCCAGAGTTAAGCCCTCCAGACGTCCTCCTGCTGGTTTTCTGAGGCCTCTGCCGATTCCTCATCGACCATGGTCCCACATCTCTTTGGATTTCGTCACCGGCCTTCCTCCCTCTCAAGGTAACACAGTACTCCTCACTGTGGTTGACAGGTTCTCTAAGATGACCCACCTCATTCCTTTACACAAGTTACCTTCAGCACCTGACCTCGCTAGGGTGATGGCTCGAGAGGTGTTCAGACTTCATGGCATTCCCCGCAATATTGTCTCTGACAGAGGACCACAATTCATTTCCCGTTTTTGGAGTGAGTTTTGCACCCTTCTTGGCATTGATGTCAGTCTTTCTTCAGGTTTTCACCCTCAGACGGATGGCCAGACAGAGAGGATAAATCAGGAGGTTGAGTCCAAGTTGCGCATCCTTTGTATGGACGCTCCTAGTCGCTGGTCCCAGAACTTACCTTGGGTTGAGTATGCCATTAATGGATTACCATCAAGCTCCACAGGTCTGTCACCGTTTCATGTCGTTTATGGCTATCAGCCGCCCATTCTCTCTGTTCAGGAGGGAGCCACCCAGGTCCCGGCTGCCCACTTAGCAGCACGTCGCTGTCTCAGAGTTTGGAGAAGGGCCAGAGCTACTCTCTGCAAGACTTCTGCAGTCTATGCCAGGAATGCCAATCGCCACAGATCCCAAGCCCCGAGATACCTGGTCGGTCAGAGGGTGTGGTTGTCTACTAGGGATCTGCCCATCAAGGTAGAGAACCGTAAGTTGGCACCCCGTTTTGTGGGCCCATTTCCAGTTACTAAGATCGTTAACCCAGTAGCTGTACGGCTCAAACTACCGCCTTCATTACGGGTACACCCCACCTTCCATGTCTCCAAGATCAAACCACTGATGTCATCCAGGTTTTGCCCTCCAGCCAGACCCCCTCCACCCCCCCGACTCATTGATGGGGCCCCTGCCTTTACTGTGAGGCGGTTACTGCGTTCCCGACGTTGGGGCCGTGGCATCCAATATCTTGTGGACTGGAAGGGTTATGGTCCTGAGGAGAGGTCCTGGGTTCCTTCTCGCCTGGTCCTGGACAAGGACCTTGTCCGCAAGTTCCACCGCCAGCATCCGGACCAGCCCAGAGGGGCGTCGAGAGCCG